ATTACTTAGGTAACAGAATATTTAACATTATTGTTTTGCAAGGCATTTAAATGATATATTTATAATTTATTTTTCCTTTTTTCAGGCCTCGTATGCAACTAGCATTGCTACAATCTGTGTCTTATTTAAAAATATTTATTAGTTTATCTGAATATATTTTATATTTTGAAAACGATACAAGTGTTTTAAAATATTTTCTATCTTTTTATAAGTGTAAGATCGATGTAATCAATCCGACAAAAAGATATGAAAATATAATAATAGTATATAAAATCATATTTAGATAGAACGGTAACAATTTAGACATCTTTTATAATTGTCAGAATAATGAATTAAAACAACTCTCAAAGAAATTATAAATTGTGATAATGTAATATTTATAAAATAAAATTAAGTACAAAATTATATATATATATATATATATATATATATATATTAAACAATCTATAGAGGCAAAACAAATGATGATACATAGCCTTATTAATTCTGGTAACAATTGTCTCATTTTCTAACATTTTTTAAATATACTGTAATATAATTGTCATATCTTTTTACGGAAACACTAATGCAAAATTATATGGACATTGCTATTACTAAGCAATTAAAAAATCAGATATAGGTAGTTTATAATCATACAAAGATATTGTTTAGGTAATGTACATTTTTTTTAATTCACATATTTCTCATTTACTACCAACCATTATTTCATAAAGATTTGCAATGAAATTGATACGCCAGCAACGTGCGAAACCACTGACTGTGGAAAAAAGCATTCTTATTCTGTTCGTTGTGATGATTTGAATAAAATCGTATAATTCCATCAGCCGGCAGTGATTACAACGATTTTTCAATTCATAGAATCTTCGTTGTTACCAAATATATTTACAAGATTTGTGAATAGCGCTAATTTCGGTGCGATACGTAGATCTTCCTTTTTCGTGATTGTATCTTGATCGGGCATCATCTTGTCCGCAATATGCTTATAAATTTTGCCGTTAGCATTAACATAAAAAGTAGAGAAGCCATCGTACCATCTGAAATAGTTTCCATACATATTATTTTCATAGTTTCTATAAGGAAAATTAGTTAAAGGGAATTTAAATATTTTATTTTTTCTTGAAGATAGAATAAAAAAATCTCTAATATGAAATTAGAAAAGTAAAGTTCTTTTCAAATACAGTAAAAACTTCAATTAATTGGAATTAATGTTTGCGAGAATTTATGACAATTGTATTACAATGTTTTTGTTAACATGAATTTTGTAATACAGATGATACTTACATATCGCGATTGGTACTTATGGCATCTTGTATTTTCCAAAATTTATACTTCCAAAACATAGTAAACACGTTCCAGCCCGTGACACCTCGTATACGCCAACGAACCTGTACGGTATCGCTTTCAGGATGCATTGTTATTTTTATGATATCTAATTTGACATATGCAAATTTCATGTGACCAATTATCCTAAGCAGTATTAACTGTTTAACATAATTGTTAAGCCCCCTGTAATATTTTTTAAATAGATATATGAAAAAATAGCAATATTTAAAATGTAGACATTTCTTATTATTTTAGAAATTATTACATAAATTAATTTATGTAATAAAATTAATTTACCTTGTTGTTACTCCTCTAATATTGTTAATAAAAACTAGATCATCAGTATATATCGAAGTGTTCAAAGGTTTCACAAACAGCTTTGGTAACTACAAACAATATTTCAATCAGAAAATAATAGTTTAGCCCAGAGAATTGTCTAGCATAAGAGAATCTCTTATCCTAGACAACTATACTTCAGAAAATTGTCTCAGATTTATTGTACTTCGTTTCTGAAGGAGCGTAATTGTAAGTTCGAATTAAAGTCAGTGAAAGTAGTATAAATAATTCTAAAATTTCCTGTAAATTATATGACATACATCTTGACTAAGACAATCGACTATAGATTGTAGTTGTTCCTGCGATGGTTTATCCTCGTTTTCTTGTAGTGACTGTTGCGAGTTCATTTTTAGAGTATTGCTTGTATCAGCAGAAATAAATAAGATATTTTTATCAATAATTGTTTCTTGACTACTGTGTAAACTTTCTAAAGAAATCACTCTATTATTACATAGAAATGAATTATCATTATCATTTCCTATAACACTTTGTGCCTGAAACATTTTAACATTGTTTGACATGATTCCTGTAGGAGCTAAGTGATTCCTGCCTTTCAAAAAGGCAATACTGAGTCTCTGTGACTTGTGCAGCCTGCGTGGGCTTTGGACCCAATACATCATTGTATTCTTGCTCTCATCGTCAGAGTATCGTTTGGCTAGCTTTTTATTCCATTGATTGTGAACAAGATAAGTCAACGATAAACTTGGAGGAAATGTACATCCCGCAAAAGGTACCAACTTTTCTGTGGTGTTTGCTCTTACAGACAGTGTTCTCTGTGTACCCAAGAACTGAAAATTTATAGATATGGTAAGATTCTACAACAATATGTAAAAAGCAGTATGTAGTTGTACAAAGTTATAACATAAAAGATTATAAATTGGAAATTATTCAGATTAAAATATAAATAACAATAGTTCTATATATAGAATGTCTCAACTACTATATTTCCTCTTAAGAATATATTCTTGAAGTAATTTTGAGACGAAAATATAATACAAAAATATCAAGACTGCAATAATGTTTTGAATTATAAGCTAACTTTAAATGCTTATAAGTTCAAAACCATTTTACTTTTATAGCCTCTATTATTATTTCTTAATTCTTTCCATCCAATTTAGAAATAATAATAGAGACTATAAAAGTAAAATGGCTTTTGACTTATAAGCATTTAAAGTTAGCTTATAATTCAAAAAATTATTGTAGTCTCGACATTTTTATATTAGGATCTTTGTTTTAAAATTACCTCAAGAATACATTCTTAAGAGGAAATGTGAAAAACCCTGTGTATGTGTGTGTGTGTGTGTGTGTGTGTGTGTGTGTGTGTGTGTGTGTTAGATTTATTAGCACTCATGTTATAATGGTTTCTATTTTTAAACTTAGATTACTTAAGTTTAGTTCGTAGTTTAGTCAACTGTTAGAAGCTTATTATCATAAATTTACATTTCTTGTATTTTTACTACAGAAAAATTCGCTTGAAATAAGTCTATAATTGAAAGAAAAAATGCGTGATATTTCCGAAACATTCTGTACACTATATATCAACAAACAGTCTGATGTGTACATACAAGCATTTTTATTTTTGCGACAACGTGACGTGCCCTCAAATCACTCTTTAATCATTACGACTTAACAAGAATCGGAGGCTCGGATTTCGCCGCTGTCGCAAAAATTATAACAAAAATTCGTGTTCTGTGGATCGGCGAGTTTTAACGTTGTGTCGTTACGGAATCACGCGATTATATAAGCATTTGGAGGTTAGAACAGTTAGTCGTTGGCAGGTATCGTTTACACGCTACGACACGAAGACTTGCCAAACGGAATCGGTCACACGACGCACCTGCTTTAGGAAGGCGGATGACTCGATGTTCTTCTGTAGCTGATTACGATTGAGTTTTGATGGTGTTTTTCGGCTGCTGCCGCCGCTTACGAGCGACGACAGCCGGCCGGGTAACGTGCGAAAACACAAAGACATGTTACGCGATCGCGCGTGACGAGAGCTTATTCAGATCAACGACATACTCCACGATCTGCAAAAATAATGCAACACGGTGTGTCAAGTCACTGTTAACTACTATGCGATGCTTTACGCGTGCTTTTCAACACGATCTTGCGCGGTCCGCAGTTATCCTTTCCGGCTGTTTCCGGTTCGAAGAATTCGGACACGTTCTTGTGCGCTTCACGAGATAGCGCTTCATAAGGTAGCGCCAAAATGTACATATTTTTAAAATAGTTCGAAATTCGCTGTACACAATATTTTTTTATTTTGTATGGCTGTGAAATTTTATGTAAATTTCTGATAATGAAATAAAATCGCGGGCGAATATAAAGCATCGTCCCGTACTAAATCCATAATTTATTTAATATTTTATAATATGTTTATGTATATTTATATGTTACGAATCTGTTAAAAAATGCAAAATGTAATTAATCTGTAAAAGTCAATGAAAATATAATATTATAAATTTTGTAGATTAAATCATAATAGAGCAAATATTAGTCGATTATTTTCTTAGAAATTATAACACAATATTTGTATATTAATATTTTATTTTTTTATTGACAAATTTATTGTAAATCAAAAACTAATAACACCAACGACATTGTTGAATTTTAATATAAATAAAATGTATGTAATACATAATATATGTAAATGTAAAGTGTAATAAAACTCATTTTTTATATTCCTTCATTTCAAGATAATAATTTTACATGTGTCAATATATGCAGCATATTCTAAGACTTAATTTTACCTTGTGTTATTCTGTAACATAATAACTTTATAAGTACATATTATGAAAATTTTGTTCCCAAACTCAATTCTCATTAATAATATGTACATACATGCACATAGATAAATCATTCTTGACTCAATTTACATTTATTTTTAATATTATAAATATGTAATTAAATATCTTTCTTCGCGCATTAAGTTCTAAAACCAACTGAATTTTATATATCTATGAACTATTTTATATATTATTTTATCTCTATACTAAGTTAAGTACTTATATCGCTCATTTCAGATCTTGGATCAGACTTTCTAATTTATTTTATAAATTTTATCTCCTAAAGAATTCTTTCTAAAAATAATACTTATATTAACAAATTCAATGCTTACGTTCTAATATCTAATTTAATTATCTTAACATTTAACGGAAAACCATCTCCATTCTACTGGAGATACCATCTTTAGTATCTCCATTCTATAATTCTTTGCATCATTTTCTTCGTTTTTTTCTTTTTATTTTCAACTTTTCTAAGCATACAAGATCTGCTTCAAAATGAGATCATGGTCTTTTATATTAATCTACCATTTAAATGTTTCTAGATATACTATATTATTTGCTATAATTATTCTTCACCGAGGCTCAATTTTTGCTTAATTTCCAATGCGAGTTTGTAACCGAGTTCCGGTCGTCGGTCTCTTCCTTCCACCATAGCCTTCACCTGGCTGGAATTCACTATCACGCCATTGCTGCCTATTACAGTGGCCTTGGTCTTCTCAATGTCAACGAGGTCCACGCCACGACTGCAGTCATCGATTAGTATAGTGCGATAACCGCTAGTAAGCGCATCCACTGCAGTAGCGCCCACGCAAACGTCATAGGCCAATCCACAGATATAGATATCGGTGGCGCTTTTTTCCTGCAGCTGCGACGACAGCGTGGTCTCGGTGAGCTTCTTGTTGTCCCAAAACACTGAATACGAGTCGACTTCTGGATTCGTGCCCTTGTAGATCTTGATCGCTTTGTTAACGATCTTCAGGTCCTTATGGAGCTCGGCACCCCAAGAATCCTGTACGCAATGACGAGGCCACAGGCGTTGCTTCAACAACGGTGGTCCTTGAAACGTTACTGTGTCGTATACCCGCGCCGCTTCCTTCGAGATATTGCTGCTAATGTCTACCTTTCTGCGATAACGACATTTGCTAATAAATATCAATATGCAAAGATTTTCTTTCCGCTATTTTTTTTTTCTTTACAATTATCTGTTTCGTACTTTTATATCAAGTTTTGATACTTTGATAAAAATAGAGCAGTTGAATATATAAAATTTAATATTTTAAGATTTAAGTTTGTATAGATACATCTTAAGTAAAGGTATAATAGACTTTAAATTTTGCATTTTGCAATATGTTGAGATATAATTACCTCAAGTGCAAATTATCAACGAAGGATACATGGTCCACGGGATGCCAGTCCAGGGAATAAAACACTGCATCGAACGGTACAGTTTCCAACAATTGGTTAATTGGATCGATTACTTCCGAACCATCGTGTTGCGCAGCGCACTGCTTTATATTTAAGGAGCCTGTTATAAAATCATTTTGCACATCCACAATTAAGAAAGCGCTTTTGGGACGCGTGCATACTTTAATCCATCGGTTCCAGCACACCTACGTTGGACCAATAAAAATAATTTTATATAAGTATATATATAAGTATTAAGTCATTGTTTTGAATACATCAATTCAGATATTTATTAACACTTTTGGTAACTAAATAATTTAAAAAAGAAAACAAAATACTTAAATATAAAATTGATTAATATCATTATATAGATATCCTATTATCTTCTCAGATAAGATAGCAAGAAAAAAATTGTTAAAAAAATATAACTAATAATATACTTTTTATTTAAAAAAAGTTTAAATTTAAATTATTTTTTTCTATATTTGATATCTTAAGCTCTCTCTTAAAATGCGTTATTATAAGTTAATTAATAACATAATGAGCATTCCTTATATACCTCAAATTCTTCTCGGTCGATCAGGCCGTCGCCTTTGAGATCGAAGATTGAATACACCTCGCGCAGTTGATCCTCCTCGAGGCCGTAAATCTTGCCGCGGTCATTTCGAAACAATGCGCGACATATGAGATCAAATTCGGAAATTGACAGGAATCCATCGCCGTCTTTATCGAAAGCGTTGAAACACGCGTCCATGTCTCTCTATTTGCCGACTACCTGTTTCCAAGTTCCACTTGTTTAATCAATACTCAGATTAGCGTCTGTCCGATCACTTTACACCTGGACCGTTCAGACAAATATAGATCTATCGACGAAAATACTGCAATATTTTATATATAATACTTATCGCTGTTATCTGCAATATGTTATAATCTAACCACTCGATTCTCTCGAAGAGAATAAGTATTCTACAAGTATCGATTTTTGTCACCAAATCGATTTATTATCAAATAGCTCGGTGTATTACAATATTACATAAAAAATTGTTTTATTTATCATGTCTTTTACATTTCAAGATTGCAAATGAAAGGATTAATTTTATTCCTTTACTATAGTTTTAGACTTCTATCTCATAATTATATCATTTCGCATTACAGTATTATTTCATTTGTGCCGTGATATTACATAGACCGCGCGAGTCTCTGATGCGTTAACAGCGACACGTCGACCATCGCTTCGGGATGCAACAACTCGTGTATGTCGTACTTAAAGGATTCTTCGTAAGCATACGTCACGGAGGTATCGGATAATAGCATGTTGCATTGCGCCAGGATCAAGATGCAATTACGTAACCGTGTGCAAACATTGCGATTTTCTATAGGAATTTTCGACAGATCCTCTGTGAAACCACCCTCGGATTTATCGACATTTTGAATGTTTGCACTGATCCATACGTAACCGTTATAACCGAGTATCAAAATGGCTCCACTCTCTAGAGTATGATAGTGTGTCTTCTTGCGTTGAATTAACATCGGTGGTACTTTTAACATTATCCCCTGCGATAGTTTGCCATACTTCAATACTCGCGTATGTAGAGAGAGTGAGCCGTCTGCGAAGATTGATTGCACTTCTGCACAAATCAGATCTCCTTCCTGCAAATACCTGCGCATCGTCTGTTCATCTTCGGCAGATCTTCTTCTCTGCAAGTTTAAAGAGTATTCAAATACGTATGATATATTGAAAGCTGTTACATTTTTTTATTATTTTGACACTTTGCTAAATAAAAGTTTTATAAAAAAAACTTAATTATAAGAGTATTTAATAATTCTGAAATATATTTTGATTAATATTCAACTACATTAAAGAATAATAATAATAATAAATAATAAAATTATTTTTTTCAAAGTAAAAAAATAATTTATTATATTAATATCCAATAAAAATAAGCCAATTTAATAAGCCAAAACCAAACATATATAAAAATAAAAAGTTATTATAAATTAAAGAAAATAATAATTATGTTTTTTTTCTAAATTCTAAAGATATAAAGAGAGTGTTTCATTTATATATATATATATATATATATATATATCTTACCTTTTCACCACCAGGCAAATTAACACTGGACAACAACAGCCACCAGGCAAATTAACACTGGACAACAACAGGACAGCATCAAGCTTAGCATTTATATCAACTTTCCAACGCTTCTGTTGTACTTCCGTTATCCTTCCTACGACAAGATCTCCGATCTCTCCATTATAACGTGCCTTCAAGGGTCTAATCGATATAAGTTTGTTCACCTTTTCTAAGACTCCAGCGACTGATGCACGCAACGTTTTCTCATCATCAACGTAAGTTCCATGGCCTCTTAAATAATCAGTTCCAATCAAACAATTATATTGTAGTTTCACAATCCTGTGTTGCGTAAAATCAAAGCAGCCAACTATCTACCTCAAAAAATCCGGTTGACTGGATATCTCCTCGCCAGGAGTGTAGAGCCGTGGCTGGATGCCATTATTCGTTATTAGATTGAAATCTACTCTGTTTACCGCCAGACGTACATTAATAGGCGAATATTGAGCCATCATACAATAATATTGACCAAATTTAATTGCCCGATTGCTCTCACCTTTCAACGGCTTAATTTTTTTTGGTTAAGCGTCACCGGGTCGTAAATGTCGTTGAACTATCAACAGATTGACGACATATTCCTTACTTAGAAGAGTCATGGTGCCACTCTTGAGTTATGAGTGCCACATCACCAATTTTAATATGCAATTTTTTCATTGGAGCTCATTGGATGTTCCGCATAATAAAAGGAATAGAGAAGAGAGAACAGAGAATAAGAATTTCAAGCTATCAGAAATCATATATTGTGGAATACAATACATGATTCCTAATAGGTTGAATTCTTATTTTCTGTTCTCTGTTCCCTGTTCCTTTTATTGTGCAGAACCCCTAAGAATTTCAACCTATCAGAAATCATGTGTTGTGGAATACACAGTTTCTGATAGGTTAAAATTCTTGTTCTCTATTCTCTTTTCCTTTTATTGTGCGGAGCCCCTTACTGTTTGTAAAATCATAAATATATCAGCTCGCATCAAAACTAAGGTTATTGTGTATTTTTATCGTATAAGGAGCGAGTTATTCTAAATATTTATCAAATATTTATGTAATGAAAGAGAGAGATTAAGCTGATTCTACAATGAGTAGTCGGAAATTATAAGTTTTAATAGTCTTAATTTAAATAGATGATTGATTTTTCGCACCTACGACTGCGATTGATTTGGTTTCTAGTTTTAAGAATAAGAAAAAGATCAAGAATAAGTTGAACCGAGATTATTAATCCACATTGATAGAAACGGGCATTAGTCATACAAGTTGATTATTGGCCAACTTCATCGATTCATGATAAGATTTAGGACTACCAACTACTGACTTATTGTAGAATTAGTATTATGGATAATACAATAGAAAATGCAGAAGATTTGGATGATGAATGTCCGACAAAACAAGCTAAAAATATGTCTTTCGAGAGTAAGTTATATTATAATATTATTAGGTAAAATGTCAGTAATATGTTAGCAGTTTATCAATAGATTTGAATAGAATTTTCATATAGATTATATTAATTTGCATCTACATTAAGCTCATGTTCTGTCAGTAGAGTCTGTTGATAACAAATTACCAGTAGAGAAACTACAAACAAAACCTATACATAATTTCACAATGAAATATTAATTAGCTATTGAATGATAAACTCTGCTTGGTTTCTATAGTTAATCTGCAATCGTACATTCTATTGTATGATTTCTACTGGCATCTATGAGCAGACTAATTTACAAGACCTATTTTTAACAGTTTTAATTATTTAGAATATTACTTATAATACAATTGAAAATTTTATCTGTATTTTTTATAATTTGGATTTCTTTTTTTCAGCTGCTTTTAGCAACTTGAAGAAATCTGAGTTTTTCACAGATTTGCCAGCTTCTAAGCCTGAAACTTCCACGGCAATATCTTCAAGTAGAACCAGCACTGTCCTTGTCAGTCCAAAGCAAGTAATACTGTTTTCTTATATTTTATAAAATATTATAATATAAATTTTTAAGAGTAAATATATTTTGCAAACTGTACACTAATCAAAGTTAATAATATATTTTTATAGAAAGTAAATTTGTCAATAAAATTTAAAACATGTTATATTAAAACTTAATTTTAAAAATGTATAATATTTTTTCTTTCTCTCCAGAAAGGCAATCCGTTATTAAAGTTTATAACAAATGTATTATGGGAATATTCCGACATTGTGCCAGATTATGTAATGGGAAAAACTACATGTGCTCTTTTCTTATCAATTCGTTATCACCAACTAAATCCTGATTATATTCATGAAAGACTTAAGTTGTTGGGCAATGCGTATAACTTACGAGTGCTTTTAGTACAGGTATATAACTACAATTTATATATTTGTTTTATAAAAATATAATTGACTATTAATATAATTCTTTATACAACATTAATTATGATTAGGCGTAATTATATTATTTATTTCTATTATATGCATTCAATTTATAATTTCTTAAGTTTTGTATAAATTAGAAATTTTGTAATTTTTTGTATCTATATTAGACTTTTTTATTCAATTAGATTGATGTCCCCGAGCCTCATCATGCTTTGAAACATTTAACAAGGATTTCCATTTTGGCAGACTTGACAATAATGTTAGCATGGAATGCAGAGGATGCAGGAAAAATTATTGAAACTTATAAAATATATGAAAACAAGCCCCCTGATAATATCATGGAACGCAGCGAAACAGCACCTTATCAAAAAGTAATTATTATCTACTAAAATATATATATATAGATATATTTTAAAAATATGTATATATTTTATATATATGTATATATTAGAGAAATATTTATATAATAAATATTCGTTACAGTTGGTTAATGCTTTAACGACAGTAAGATCTGTCAACAAAACCGATGCAACAACTCTTCTAACAACTTTTGGCACATTAGCTAACATTGTAAGAGCACAACCCAACACTTTAACCTTATGTCCAGGATTTGGTCTACATAAAGCTCAAAAACTTCATAAGGTTTTGCATGAATCTTTTCTATGCACACCAAAACTCTCTACAAAAAAATAAAATTTTCCAGTACATATATATTTAATATTTTACATTAAAGTTTTATATTAACTATAGAATTATTGCGCTACAATAAAATAATTAGATAAAGTCACAACATATACGCACAACCAAAAAATGTATATAATATTTATAAAAAATAAAATTTTTTAAATAAATTATAAATGATTCATATGTACAATGATAAAACAATGACTAATGAATTTTTTAATTTGAAATAAAATATGAAAATTATAAATTATTAAAAATATGATTTATAAATAACTTTAATCTGTAATATCTCGTACCCGTATTTAACTTTGTTAATTTCATGTATAGCAGCTTTCCAGATAGCAAAGCGTGTCTCAGCAAAATTGCACAAATCTGTGATTGCTTATGATGCTGGCAACTTGTCTTAAATTTATCTTCAATGATTTTGAATATACCAATGTTGTAGCAACATGCAGACAACAATGTGTATATGTATTGTCAGCAAGATAGCTGTTTGATGATGATGATTTTAAAGTTGTCGGACAAATTGTTGGCAAGTTGCTACTTAATGTTATTATATTGTAAAGGCATCAAGTTGCCAACAAATGAGGACTTAGTTGCTGCAATTTTGGTAGCAACGCATACTTAACAATGCATTCTTAGCAAGCAACGTGTCAGAAACAAGATAGACGTTGCTATCTGATGGGTTTTAGTATGTACTAATTTAATAATGCAGATGACTGAATTCGCGCTAATTGTTTCTATTTGTGGATTCAACGAATTACGTTTTTAAAAAAAATAAAAATAAATTAAAAAGTTCAGTTATAAAAAACAAATGTATAAGAGTTATGGCTCATATTTTGGATGTCGATTGATACTGATTGCCGAAGTATTTGTCATGCGGCAAAATACAAAGTCAATGAACGTATAGCTCCTAAAAAAAATGATATGTTATCTGTTTGTCATTAAACACAGGTTTGAGAGGTTCATGAAAATGCACCTCAATCTATATGAACGCGGCAAAACGCGAGCTGCTCTTAGAACGAACTTGCGATTTGTATACCAATTTCACTAACGAGATTATGATTAGTTGTGATTAGAGATTGCCGTAAGTAAATATTCATGATTATTGATCGTCAAATACATGCATTTTTGTTTTCAAAATATTTTCAACGTTTATTTATTCCGTAATTCTTTTTGAGGTTATGAAAATTACTTTTTTTGTATATTGTTAATAGAGAGGTTAGACCAGAAGGTAAATAAAGCGTTTTTCTTTTAATATTCATTTTTTTTAGTGTGAGGAAAAAATGGAAGACTTTGTACCAACACGTGGCTCCCAAGTCAAAAAAACTGCGACGAGTGATTACATATCTGTGAATTATATAGCGCCAAAGAAAAAAGTGAAATCTGCAGATGACTCAAATAACAAAGAAAAACTTGAGGAATCTACGAAACAAACACCTGAAAAACTGAACTAAAACAACAACAAGAAAAAGAGATGAAGAAGTTGCGATATGAGATTATCAAATTTGGTATGTCTGGTTTCGAGAAACCAAAGGCGAGGAGAGCAAAGGTTGAGCTCGCTATTAGCTTAGGTGCAATACCTCCCAAGAATAAGAGAATGAATTACAAAGCATTAAAGACGCGTCGAAAGATAGAGAAAGAGAAGAAAAAGGAGGAAGGGCACAAGTCTGGATTTACCAGTAGTTTGCTCAAACCTAAGTCTAAGAAAACACAGAAGAAGGATAGTGGTATTCTACAAGTTTATGGGAAAGTACCGAAAGATATCTTGATAAAAAAAAGAAAAAGAGTTGAAAATAAAAACAGTTTCTAAAACATGAAACTTTACTAAAACTCTACATGAAATTGGTTGGAAATATGTTTTAAATAAAATATCTTGTAAGGACTATTAAGAATAAAAACTATATATTTGTAATTAATAATTACAATTAATTTATCAATTAGATATATTTTAATTGGATTGTACACAAATTAATTTTTAAAAGAACAAGTTAATAAAATTGCGAATTCAAAATAATACACAATTTGCGTGGTAGTTCAGGAAAAGGATAAGGATATACGAAGAAAAAGAGGCAAATTTATAACTGCAAACATTTAAAATATTTTCTGTTGATTCATCGCTTTTTCATTACAACATCAATTATCTATTGTCTAACAATAATATCTCTTCTGCATGTTGTATACTATGTATGAAGAATAACAAGTAATAAAATAATATATTTTTATATAATATATATATATGCCTTTTTTATATGATTTTTTTATATTAATTTTTTTTGGGCCAGCCTTGAGCTTTGTAATATATAGGATATAATGCTCTCGTCTGCATGTATTTAAAATAGGATATATTCAGGTGTTCATACAGTTCACACAATGCCATAATGGAATGATTCGGCATTCTGGAGAACTGTACGTTGATCTCTCGAAATGAAATCAGTCGAAGGCAACCGCCGTTGGAGCCACCTCTAGTAACATCTGCAGGAAGGCATTGACACCTTCTATAATCAGAAAACAAAATATACAATATAAAATTTAAGGTCACACAAATTAATAGAAATAACTTTAATAAAAAACGATTTTTTTTTTATTAAAGTTATTTAGTCAAAATAAATTTAGCAGAAAAACAGAGAAAAGAAATTTTAAGAATTTTAATTTAAGATTTGGTAAATCTTTATTTTAAATTGAAGAGAAATTTAAAAGATTTTGAATTTTGATTTTATTTTCATACTTTTTGAAATTCTATAATAATTTGTCATCTTAATTTTATTGATCCTTTTAGGAGTTTATTTCTACGTATATTTCTTTCTACAAGCTTAATATTTCAGATTTCTTGAAACTCGACTAGATTGGTTTAATTTGAATTTCAGATTTTTAATAAGGATCTTGGAGTTTTAATTGTTTTTTCTTTTTATCAGTAAGATATTTATTTCTTTTTTGGAAATAAGTTTAAATATTTTATATTATAATATATTGATAAAAACTGATAACAAGGCACTGTATAAAATTTTTAATTATTCGTTGACGAGTCTTTATTTTCAGTGTAACGACGTCTATACCCACCCATGAATTTGGGCACATATCCAAATTTTACGAACGGGAGGTAGACGAGCATGCCCGCACCGATAAAGCCAGCCGCGTACAGGTACTCGATCTGGGGCTTGTCAATAATCGGCGCCACTATGAGATACGCGGAGATGACGAGCACGAGCATAGGTATCATTAGTGGGCATTTGTACGGTCGCGGATGATTGGGCCTGGTCTTCCGCATCACCAGTAAGGCGACCATCGAGCCGCCGTAGAATATCCATGCAGTAAATGAGAAGAAATCAATCAGCGAATCGATGTTACCGGAGAGAACCATCGCGCCTGCGAAATCAGTATTTTGGCTTACAACACATTTAGACACCTTGAAGTCGATACAGTCCATATAGCAATGGTCTCGCCTTGAAAGTAGAACAACATATGTATGTTACATAAAACAAAATCTTAAATAATCGGGAGGATACGTTCATGATGTAAGAAAATTTAGATACAATTCTACTGCTAGAAGATATCTAAAAGACGAGCTGAAAATTTATATCGAAAAAATGTTTAAAAAAACAATTTAAAAAATTCAAAGCGATTAGATGAAATCAAATCTCAAGCGAACGCTCGCAAACAAACATAAACAAATAGAAACGAGAATTTTAAGAAATCAAATTTGATTTTGCTGAATGCGAAAGATAATTATCTCTCGAAGCAAGTTCGTTTAATCCAGGTCTGTTTTGATACCTGCTACGAGGGAATGGAAGATGAGGCCTGGGGCAGGAGTAAAGCGTCGCACATGCACGTAGCTCAAGCAGTCGAGCAGATGACCCTCTCGCGACGCGGCGAAGCAGAGTCTACCCGCAGCAAACAGAGTGCCATTAGCGGATCCAAAGGTGCTGATCGCTACGGAGAGCGGCATTAGCCACGCCATCACGCCCAAAATCCGATTGCCGAACGTCTGCGAAAAAAAATATCTTGATCCATCATCAAAATATAGAAATTGATCGGAGCAAAGTCTCTCTCTGAATTCTGATAATTCAACTCTACTTGCAAAGCGATATCGAGGAAATTCATGTCTTTACAAAGAAACATCCATTAACAGTAACTTATAATTTTCCATTCAACAATATAATTGTGTAATATATGTTATATTATAATTATATTGTTGAGTGGGAAATTATAACTAACATAACAGTTATGTCATTGTTAATTGATGGGATGGGTGTTTGATGGGATCGATTCTATCATTTTACGTCACTTTCAAAAGGGATGTTTTTTTGAGAAGAATAATGTATTCTCTAAATAAATTTGTGTTGACCATATTTACCACCGCCACGGCCTCGCTCTCAATCATTTCTGACGGTGACATGACTGCTAGATAGGATACATTGATGAGTGCGTAACAAAGCGTGACGAGCGGTATGCCGATCATGATGGATCTAGGCAAATTCTTGGAAGGGTTTTTAATCTCCTCGGTTACATAATTAAGATTGTTCCAGCCGTCGTATGCCCAGAGGCCGGTATAGAAAGCAGTGGCGAGGCGACCGATGTTGATGCTACTACCATCGATGGTGTCAAACGCCGTTTGCAGATGCTGTGTGTTACCCTGTATCAATTTGTATGAGCCACCGATTATCACCACGAGTATGGCCATTAGTTTGGCAGCGGTGAAAGCGTTCTGCACACCGGTGGCCAGGTTGACGCTATAGCAGTTGATCAGGAGTATCAGAACAATCGCCAGCAGGGCGACGATCTTGACTACTTGGTCAGGTGGCTCGCAGTCGACGGTGAACGCCTCGACGGTGTACTGGGCGAACGACAGACAGATAATCGCCATTTGCGACGGCTTAAGCACCAGGGTGGACACCCAGGAGAAGAGGAAGGCAGGCGGGGCGCCGAATGCGTCCATGAAGTACGCGTACTCGGCGCCGCTGCTCGTGTTCATGGTGCCCAGCTCGGCATAGGCGAGAGCGCCGCAGAGGCTCAGCAGACCGCACGCGGTCCACACGACAAAACTAATGCCGACGCTACCGGTACGCAACAGCAGACCCGACGGCGACACGAAGATCCCGGAGCCGATCATCGTGCCGACGATTAGAGCCACCCCACTGACGAGTCCCACCCGTCTCTTGAGGTGAACAGCGTCGTTCGCCTCTGCGTCCGTCCCCTCCAGCCCTCCGCTCCCTCCACCCCCGTCTTCGTCATCCCCCACACCTCCAGATTGGCCTTGTTGTTGTTGCTGCTGCTGTTGTTGCTGTTGACGCTGTTGTTGAGGATGGTGTAACGACGGTTTGCCGTTGCTGCTGCCGTTGACCGATTTGCCAGATCGGCAGACCAATCCACCGCCAGTGTCACCGGCACTTCCTCCCAGCCAACCCCCCAATTGTAGTTGCTGTTGCTGCAGTTGCGGCTGACCGCCATTACTCGTCTGCGGATCATGTCCCACGGTAGCTACAAAGGAAGAAATTTCTTGTTATTTTAGTACTTTGTACGTTATTCATGTCATAATTGAGAGAACTGAATACATTGAACGTAGCCAAAGGGATGAAAAACTTGTAGTGATAAAACAATTCATATTCACAATTTATCGTTACATTATTTAACTTGTTAATTTTGAAGTAGGTGGGTGGGATGTTTAGAACACTTTAAATTTTATCCTTATAGTTACTTTTTTAAAAAATATGCATAAAATTAAATTTACATTATTTATACCTTCATGAGATAAAAGAATGTAAAAATAACTTTAAAACTTCTAGGCTAATACACTTTTTATTTTCTTTTCCAGAACAAAGTTTTTAAAATATGAGTGAGGTGCTGTGATCATCTATTTATTTAAACATCAAAGAAATGTATGATGAAATATAACTAAATTATTAATTAAAAAATGTCTAACCAAATGTGAAAATTAAACTAATTAAAGATTACATTCAACAATTACAATTTTATAAATTAGATTCATTGTGCACGCTGATTGATTTTATCAAATCAATAATCTGTAGTATGATCTTCTTCATCAAAGTTACAAAAAAGCTTATCCGTATCAAGCATGTCTAAAACTATCTTTATTCAGGTAAGAATAACTTTGTTTTTCCAGAATTAGCCAATAAATAATATGATCTTGTTTTTTCCTCGATGAAAAGGTTACTTCGTTAGCAACATTAATATTTGAAAAGCATTTTCTAATTTTTCATTCTGAAGGCGTCTTTTTACTATCTATTATATCCTATTAAACTTCTTTAGCACGAGTTACGTTAAGAAAGTCAAAGAACGAAGCACACAATAGTGGTGAACTTTTTATAAATAATATATTGATTCCGTCGAAGTTTCATAATAACAAACTTTCTTACTGCATGAAATAACAACGAATCAATCACATACCTATTTTTATAAAGTAACAAAACTTATTCAAAGGATACTTGGGGTCATGAACTTGGTTACTTTGTGAGTAATAATCGATTAAAGGTATGTCAATTTGCTTAATCATTCTGTTTAAAAGAAAGCATTATAGAGATTCCTATAAAGAGAGTATCGAAAGGATTGCAAACAATGTATAAACATCAACAATAAATATGTTTTATAAAGTGTATGTGATATATCATTTTATTCTTATTATTCATCGAATGTTAAAAAAGGATAAAATGATACATTATAAACATCATACGCTTTTACGAAATCAGGTCAATATTTATAGATCCTCTTCCACTTGGCCAGTTTCTCTCTATTTTCTGTAATTTGATACAATATAAATAATTGACCAAATTTATTTTATTGATCTCTAATTATTTGATTAATGTTATACGAATCTCATCTTTTTACAGAGAAATTATAATGATTTCGCAATTTAATTTGATCACGAGGCTTATAATTCCACTCTAGTCAAAGCA